CACAGATAGGCACCTCATCTCCCTGTTCTATATTTTGGAATCTACTATTTCCACACAATCACCAGAAAGATGCTGGTTCCTCCTTGTCCCCTTGTTTAAAATAAATGTAGGAAATCAATATAGGACTGTATGCTGGAGAGCTAGTCAAGCTAAGTCAAGCAATGTGAGAATATTCATGATTATCCCAATTCACAATTATCACGATAATGAAAATTCACCATGATAAATTGATGTGTTTTAACGCGATAATATTGTGCCATCCCTACTCATATTAAATATGAGATTTGGCAACTTTAATTAGGCACCTTTGTTCTATGTTGTTCCCCATCCCTCACTACCCTCATCTCCTGCCACCTATCAACTGTAAACTCATTAATAAAAAGGTATAAAATTGACCTCCAAAAGTATTTTAACAATCAGTGATGCACAAAATTTGTAGAAAGTCATGCATATTAATGATAAATAATTTAAAAAAAAAGTCAAATTCAAATCGGTTCAGTGAAGGGCTTTGTAAAGATGCTTTTATAATGAATCCACTGTATTTAAGCTTTATATCCCTACAAATCATGACACAACACCAGTCCTCATCATGCAACAGTATCAGCTTCTGTGGCCACTGCAGACGCCCACTGGCACTCGCATTAATGACGAGACAAAGCCTGCTCAGAAGAGGGCATTGAGGGCAACAGAGGGTGGCGTGGGAACCAGCGCGTGCACCTGCTGCGTGTTTTGGTTGTAAACAAACCCGAGGACAATGTCATTTGGGGGCTAGAGAGGAGACAGCAGACTTGTTGTGCCTCAGTGCAACAGCCCACAGTAGCAAAGACAGGACTTGATGATAAAGTGTGTATTCACTCACAGGTGCTGTAAGATGACTGCCATGTTGTCACACCCTGTTATGCCAACATGACTTCATGTAATTGGTCACATGATGAAGAGTCAGCGTTATCAGTCTGCACAGAGTCAAGTCTCTATTTGTGGTTAAAACAAAGCTGCAAGACACTAATACCTTATTCACACTGAGGCAGTGACCTGGAAAAATACTGCTTTTGGTGTTGGTGCGAATAGGTCGACATTCACCACCCTACCCAGGTGCATGACCCTGCACATGACCAGGTTCTTACACAGGTCTGACATTGCCTGGCTTTAGTACAAAATGGTCAACATGGAAATTATAGTTGAGGCTGTTCTCCATAGATAGTGAGGAGGACTTCTAGTGATTTTTGACTTTTCTTGATTCTCCAACATTGGCGTTAACTAATTTAATGTTCCACTTTAAAAGTGAAGCAAAAGAGAAGTATGTAGGATTCAGTGACATCTAGTGGGGAAGTTGCAGATTGCAAGCAACTGAATAACAACTGTTCTGGGCTACTGTAGAAACATGGCAGATCAAAATGAGGACCCGCTCCCTCTGTAGATAAAAACAGCTCATTTCAAGGTAACTAAAACAAAAGGATTTCCAGGTGATTATACATTAATGAAAACATACAGTACCTATGAATATTATATTATATTTCTGATAATACATCTTTCTAAGGGGCTGTTCATATGTTATTTTGAATGAAGACGCGCTCAAACCGAAACCGCAAGTGTAATTTTATATACTATACAGACTCATTTACAATCCATATGTTCCTGGATTCTGCGTTTGAAAGCATTATTGGCCTCTCTTTTCAGAATGTTTTCATATAGTTCGGGTCCTTTTCTCCTTTTATGCACATGCCTTAAAGGAAAGCTTCTGTATTTTCAATCTGGACTCTAGTTTCAAATAGTGGCAGCTGGTGAAACTGGCAGCACAATCCTTACAAGCAATTGTGTACTCTACAGTAACTGTCGGCCACTAAAAGTGCTTGTTTTTGCCACTGATAAGCTCAGATTGTTATTACAAGTGATCCCCACAGATATAGACCTTTTTGTGAAAGAGTGAGATCCTTTTTGTTTAACTAGAAACAGCAGTTACATTGCAGTGCTCAAAGCCACCAGACTCCAATGACCAAAATTTTACCTCATAGCTCATAACACTTCATTCAACCTCGACAGAAACAGAATAAAACTCACCAAAACCTTGATTTGTCTTAACACTGTTCCAACAACTAGCAGCTTTAGTTTGAGATTGAGACTCATTCACTGAGTTAGATGTGAAAATATTCTGGCTGTACATGCTGTTTCTCCCTGACGCCTGACCTCTTCCTCGCCTGATATTTTCACACCTATCTCTGTGACTTAAGGGTTATCTCAGTACTGGACCAATTAAAAAGAAAACTTAAGACAAAAACATTGAAAAATAAGATCCAGTAAAAATACCATCCTTTCATCCTCAAGAGAAAGATTTATGATCACAGATACCGTAAAGTCTCGGGAAATCTCTCTCAGGCACCATCTTTTACAGTCTCGGGCCCTTGTGTCTTGCTATATTCTACTTACAAACATGGAGGAGTAAATTATGACATTCATATCATCATCCATTTAAAAAGACAACTTAAAACCTTCAAATTCCCCTGTGCACATACCATGAACTACTATAAACCACTGCAAACAATTGTTGAACTAAACAAACAACAAAAAGGATGAGATAACAAAAAACAACAGAGTCATACTCTACTGTGTAAATATCACTATGTCTTTCTTATCAGGCCTTGCATTGCATGCTATAGTGTTGATGGGAGCGGTTGCAGACTTTGCAGACAGCAACTATAGCTGCTGTCATGTTAGAGGTCCTGGCCTAGTATTTTTAGAAATGATATCCCATATTCTCTATAGGCCACACAATTTACGCCCAGTTCCAACATTCAGTGTCAGTTCAGGAAGTAGTGTGTCCCATATGCAGTAACACAGGAAGCAAGGGTGTGGGGGTTGGGGTGGACCGCCCTGTAGCACATCTTATTTTCTGAGAGACTGGAGCTTGTGTCCCATCACAGACCTGCAATTAATGTCACTTTTTTTTATTATTATTATTATTATATGAACTGTTGGGTCACTGTAAATAATGTTATAAGGAGTTCGATCTAGACTGCTTCTATTTGAAAAGTGTCCTTAACTTCTATTATGAATTGGCGCTATACAAATAAAACTTGAATTGAATAGAAGTCAACTTACACTTTCGAGATGCCATTTACAATACTTGCAANNACAAATAAAACTGAATTAAATTAACTGTATCTTCAAACTTTCCGTAACCTTGCACACACCACTCATGTGATTGT